TCGGCAACACCGTCTCTCTAATCTTCTACAGTTTCACCTCCGACCGCTACGTCATCCATCAAAAAGAAACAAAAGGCGACGCATTCAAGCCCGAGTCGCGGCTAGTGCATTTGATTCTCGCTGCTGTGATCCTGCCTGCGGGATTTATCATCTACGGATGGACGTTGGATTATCATGTTCAGTATATCGTGCCACTGGTTGGAACGTGTCTTGCTGGCTTCAGCATGACGCTTTCTGCTATTCCAGCTGAGACTTATGTCGTGGATACATATGAGATTCATGGGGCTTCGGCTATTGCTGCTGGGGTAATATTCCGGGCTATTGCAGGGGCGTTTCTGCCCTTGATCGGCCCGGCCTTGTATGACAGTATCGGGCAGGGATGGGGAAATACGGTGCTGGCTTTCATTGCGGCGGCTTTCATTCCGCCGTTGGGAGCGCTGATGATATATGGGGATTGGTTTAGAAGTAAGGAGCGATTCGGCAGGGAGGGACGGTAGATGCTACATAGAGTCGAATTGTTGTTTGTTTGTCCTTAGTAAATGTTATATACTCCATTCTACACCAAGTACAATATCTGAGTGTTCAGTCGAAATAAACAAATATCCTCGCTTCAATACTCTCCCGCAACTGCGTAGTATCGCTATTCCGCGGATCACGAAACGCTGTATGTGGAACTCCTGATTTCCAGTATCAATATCATTCACAGCGACAGATCCTCTTTGGGAAATAAGGGTAAATGAAATCCATACCTGCACTGTTCTCAGCTTGAAGCTCCGCCTGCACGAAAGCGATCACCTCGTCGGCCTGCAGCCCATGCCAGTAGTACCATTTGTGGTTCTCGTCATAGTATATTCGAGTATTCTCGTTAACGTAGTCACGCGCAACGATGTCCATCGCTGTGGTCTGAGATGCGTAGTCTACTGTTCGGCGGTCGCAAACCGTGATTGGGAAGTCGTATACTGGTCCTCGGATTGGTTTCCATAGGCTGGTGGGATGAAATCAAATGTAAGCTTGGTTCGCTCTTGATGGGAGGGTCTGAGATAATTATTACTTTACAACGATGAATCTGGAATAAGTCTTAGGATGGATGTTGAACTGCTTGATGCTGCATTTTGCTGCTGAGGAGGCTGTCATATCTAAATTCGATCATTCGATTAGTGATTGATATTATATGGATAATAGAATAGGATATACCAATATGCACATAATCGCTCGGCTGGTTCGTATCAAGCTCATGTCGTTCTACACCCTCAGTCAACCATAGAGGGTGCCGTTTGCGAGTCTGATTCCCAGTAAATCAGCCTAGCCCTGTTTGCCTCTTCGAATTGCTTTAACTTACAGCATGCTCTAGAACTTCAACTCGCGCGGCATCCGGGAACAGGGACCGCGCAAGCGCTTTGTACTGGGGATATAGGACTTCTTCCACTTTTTTGTCATAGTAGTACTCCTCCGGGGCCAAAGGGCACTCAAGATGCAATTGAGTAAATCCATACTCCATTAACATCTCCTTCGACGGAAGGTCTAAGTTCCGAGCATTATGAATAGGAACTATCCGATCATCTGCCGCGGTGTTTGTTGGGGGAATGTCGGTGTCGTACTGGAAGTGCAAGTAGTATGGTTTCACATGTTGGTGCTGGTCGTCTTTGGCGAGATACTGGATCTTTGCCTTGACTGTGTCGTCTCGAGGGTCAATGGAGGCAACAGTGGCCGTTGTGGATGTATTGATTCCTCCTGGAATGGGCATTTTCGTCGATGATACTGCTCTTGGTTCGAATGTTCTTTGGGGAATGAGGCCCAGTGTCCACGATAGAGAACTGAGTATATCCTGAGTAGTTTGTTTGCCGCATTAGCCGATTGCATACTTCCCTCTCGAATTCGGGGCACAAGCTTACGGTTCCGTATTGAAAGTCAAGACACGGCAACGCCGAGCTGAAGGAATACATCCTGAACTCAACTCGAGACAATCAATTCGCTACCCCGCAGTTTATTGCGAATCATGAGCCTGGTCCACCGGATCTACTATAGGTAATCGGGGGCCAAAACGACATGATCCACTCAAGCAAACTCCAAACCGGACACCATCCATGTCCTTGACTAGGGAATCAAATCCCTCATCTACAATACGACAATCAAGTGAGGGGAATAGAACCCTCTCCCGTGCATTAAACGGAACTCCTAGTAGCCACAGCCTTAGTCCACGTCTCACGCTATCGTGTAACTGGCTAAGCAGGCGCTTATCTTTCCAAGAAACTGACCAAAGTGGGGATACGTACTTTCTACAAGATGAGAAGACCCACCTCAATCCGCAGCGGCCCGAAAGCCTATCTATCACTATCTAGGTGGTATGACCCACGCAGGTGGTCTTCACGAGCATCGAGATAGTCCTTCCATGAGACCCCGGAGGAGGCTTTTCTGCACCTGTGCGCTGATGCACTGTAACCTAGACGTGTTGCGCTAGACTGGGATCTCATCCATCTGCTCCGTAGATATCAGACTTTTCAGTCGGTACCTTTCAAGTTGTTTCTTGGTGGGATGCTCCTCGGAGATGTAAATGCCAGTCGTAAATGCATACTTGAGTATTCTTGTCTAATATGCACGTTGTACCGCGCGCGTGCCCCGTGCCAAAAGTGAAGACTGGGGTCTCATCCTTCATCCTTCGAAACGTTTGACCAGCATGAATGGGGGGTAATTGCATTGCGCAAGACCGATAGCCAATGCAGCTTGGTCTACTTTGTTCCGATTTCCATGTAGTTGGCATTTACCCTCCGGCTATCATAGTCTGCACTAGACTTCAATCAGCGTAGTGATGGCCAGCGCATCATTTGCGTTGTAGATAGATGATACTCTTATCTTGCTATCTGGAATCGGTTAGCGACGCCGTCCCCTTCGGGGCAGACTGCAGTTGTACACCAGATGATGGTTCCTTCTGTTCGGAAGCACTGTCAACCGAGACGTGTTCGCTTACGCCGATTGATTCTCACCTACGTGTGCAACAATAGCATCTCCATACCCTCCATATCTACCTACCAGGTAACACAAGTCGTCAGGGTCAATGCAGATCCGTTACGCCACAACCTTGGCGTGCGGAGTTGCTTGTTCCAGCCGAGGATGCTTGGCATATGTCTTAGGGTGCTTGTCTTGCGGATGCCAAGTGCTTGTCCGTAGTTGGTATCTATCAAACATCAACCTATTTAGTTTATCCGAGATTCAAGAGGACTCCTGTGTACAAACAACACTAACCTGCCTGGGACGAATATGCATGGGCATCCGACAATTCCCTCATTTCAATTGCAACCTCGTGATGCCATCTCATATGCACATGGTATCAAGGAGAGTAGTGCACTGCACAGCTCCGAGGGATTTTGATAGTTTGATCCTTCTGGCTTCAGCTATGGAGTCCGCAATAAGGTGAGGCATTTACGCAAGGCCTATCACCATGTGTAGAAAGCGAAGAGATCCCCAGATACGGCTGGAGATACGAGCAAATGAAACACGCTTGATGAACCATGCATAGACGAGAGAGCGAATCATGCTGGATGAATGGAGATTCGGGGCACGGCTCCAAGCAGGCGCTCGGATGGGGTTGAGACGCAAGAGGGGGATATCCCTCGATGATCAAACCCCGTAGATAGCTTCAACGGCTACTGTATGGCTTATCAGCATGAGTTACGGAGTACAATGTACCACTGTGCCTTGATCCGGATTCATGCATACTCGCGTGCTTTCACAGGCTTCATGCACAAGCAGCGAATACGTATGGCTGAGGATGTCAGAGTAATCCACGCATATGGTTGAGATAGACCCGTCTGGAGTGCTATATAAACCCCTTTGACCATCGCCCATCAGTGACGGATATCATCAATCTCCAGTCTCAGACAAGCACAACTTCAGACATTATCAAACCACACTTTTCCAAACAAGCACTCTTCAAGATGGTAAGAATATTCCTGGGCATCTTCAAACATACAGGACTTGCCAAAACTAATTGGTTTACAGCCTCAGTCCACCTCTACCGCGCCCCAGGAGAGAGCCCAGCCCTGGAAGGCGATGCAGGAAGTCCAGAACCTGTTCAAGCCCGAAGTGCCCGCCGCTGCTGAAACCGCCGACAAGGCCGAAGAAGAAGAGCCCTTGAAGCTCAACTTGCTCCGGGCTCAGTTCAACTCCGCCAGATCCAACATTGCCAATGTCGAGGAGAAGCACTAAGCTATGTTGGCTTATTTGGGAATGTTGGAAGGATGCTAGAAAGGAAGGGATTGGCCGGACCCATTTGTCATTCCTTTGTTATATACAAATACTAGCTAGCCTTCCTTGTCCTTGTAGAGAGGACACAATACAATATCTGTGCGCACAGGTTGAATCACCTTTTGCTGCGTAATGATTAGCCGGTCCAAAGATAGATACAAGGGATAAAATGTCACTTCTTTTCTCGGAAGTGGCTATTGAAAACGACATGTTTGAACGTAAATATGCTGTAATATGGCTACTGCTATCTTTAATGCTCTGTGCTTGCTTGCTGCGAGTAGAGTTTCAACAGACTTCTCTATGTAGGTGTAAACCCATCCGCTCTTGAAGTCATGAAGAATTATTTAACTTGAAAGCTCCCAGGTGCTTTGCTCTATACTTGGTAGCATAGTGTGCAATGAGCACAATGAGCACACATCAAGAAATAAGGTAGCTATGAAGGGAGTATTCATGCCTCCCATAACCAAGAATAATTCCAAATGGCACCATAGTCAGACGACAACATCGCCCGCCCTTACAAATCGTCGACATATCACAGCGGCTTTAATTCCGATATAGCGTTGATCATTACAAACTGTACATATGCAGCTAGACACACAAAGATGAACAAGCATACGAGTCTAGACGCATATACATAGTGGACATAGACCGGGTAAACCCCATCCGCTATCTCCACTCTATTCCCAGAACAGACTAATATTCATTACAATCATTCCGTGACTGAAAGAGACTGACGCATCCTCTCGTCAGATCCTTCCGGTAATGCCAAGAGAGATTGACCTTCGTTGATCAATTGAACTTTCCTTACACTCTACTGCAACATCTCCACTTCTTGCAAGGCGGATAAAGATAGATAGGTCCGGAGAAAGGGGGATTGAGATTGGGACCCCGACGGCCCACCGACGGAAGGATTCTCAGCTAGGATCATAACCTGATAGTATCCTTCCCTTCAATACAGGATGTATCTACATGGTATGTTACATTTAGCCTGCAGCATATGATGTATGTTGGGCTTCTTTGGGTTTAGCGCCTGGGTTTGGTAAGAAAGACGCTGCAGGGAGGAGTTTCTTACGCGCACGCCAGTGTGTTCATTGCTGGAGTTGAACCCTCCCGGATCCCCTATCGAAGCCATGATGTAATGTTCTTTGTTTGTTGTCGCGGACTTGAGGGGTGCGATGTTCTAGATCTCTTATCTTTGAAATGTGGTAGGAAGCTTCATATTGTGATGTGGAGCTATGTATGGAATCCTACGTGATAGTACATACTCGCCGGAACGCCAGCTCAGATGGCTGGTTTATCAAAAGGCTTGCATTGATTAGCAAAGAGAGGTGCGTCTGACGATTTTCTAAGGAAATATTGGGTGGAAACTTCTGGAGGATTGAGGGACTAAATTGTGAATGATTTATGTTCGCAAACTACTCCCTCCTTTCGAAGGTTGCGATCCGTAAGTCAGAAGCCTCACGCAGGTGCAAATTACACTTAAACAAACAGCTACTCTGTACAAGCAACTACTAAATATCTAAAGATTTGTAGCTAGTTTGTAAGTATTTCAATATAGTTACTCGGCTATGTGTACCGTCGAAATTTCAGCTTCAGACAACCTGCAATAGGACCCGCAGAAAAGGCATCCACCTGTTCCACATTTCCTCTGAATTCATCATCCAGGTAAGTCTCGTAATCCGTATAGACTGTTGCAAGCAGCTCTCCAATGACTGGTTGTGATTACACAGTCAGCACGTTCTTCGATCGGTAAAGGGATGGACCTACCACGCATGGAGAAGTGAGTGCCAATGCACACCCGCGCGCCGCTTCCAAATGTCCATACCCACTTCCGCATCTCTGCGACCGTGCTTTCATCTGCTTCGAGCCACCTCCCCGGTCGCCATTCCTCAGGAGACGGAAAGGGAACTGGATTAAAGTGGAGGGCCCAGGCGGAGGAGCTAACGATGGTGCCGCCAGGGACGTCAAACTTGCCCGCGAGCCGGCAGCCAGAGTCTGGCACGACACGAGGAAACGGGCCTGGACACGGTGCCCTGGTTCGCATGGTCTCGGTAACGATGGCGTCAAGCACTGGTAAAGCTGCTAGGCGATGGGCCAAGCTCTGATCGCTAGGTTCGGCCAGACTGAGGAGCTCTTTCCGGAGCGCCCGCTGGTAGTCTGGATGTCGTGATAACTCATACATCGTATATGCTAGTAAAGTTCCCAGGCCAAGGTGGCTAGCCGAAAGATGGTCATCGCACTCAACAGCAATGAAAGAAGCCATTTCATTACGAGGCATCTTGGGATTGGCGGCTTTGAAAGCATCGTAGAAACTGTCATACAGGCTCGCGGTGGAAGAAGGCTTGGTGGGATGCCTCCTGTAGGCATCTGTGATCGCTCGTGTGAGCCACGCTTGCCATCGACCAGTGGCGTCGGGATTGGGCAGCCTGTTGCCAACCAAGCTTGCAAAGTAGGTAAACGGCCAGTAGAGCGTGGTCCGCACGGAGACTATTTTCGATGCAGCGGCAGCCAACGTTGTGAGGTCGTTCTCAAAGCCCGGGTCTCGCAGAGTATCAGTCGCGTTCTCGCTGCCAAAGAGCCAGCCCGAGGCAACGTCAAGGGTGCAGCATTTTGCCTGCTGGTAGACATTCACAGAGGTACTAGTGCTTGCCCACTCTTCCATTTTCTCCCTTAGATGGCTCGATACGCGGGAGAGAACACTGCCGAGGGTCTGGGAGTTGAGAATATACGAATTGGAATAAGGGCGGGAAAGCATACGTTTACGCTCTCTGTGCTCGTCGTTACCTGTCATGGTGACCATATAGCCAACCCTGGACTCAATTAGACATCGACTTGTGTCATTAGATTCAAAAATTGCGAGTGCATCAGGAACTTACTGGTCGAACAATTCATGGTAGAAGGACTCATCTTTGTCGAACTTGCTGCTGTAGATTGTGCGAACCCCGTCATCGATGCAATTCACACTCACGTCACGGGGCCCAATCCGGATGACTGGACCAAGTCGACGATGGAGTTGAATTCGAGTCCGATTCTCCAGATTCCGCCATCGGAGCGACAGCAACCACAGGCGTGAATAGGGAGCGGAGAAATGAGCATTGGGGATGTCTTTCAAGCTGGAATTGCGGTTGCGATGGATTGAAGCAACGATCCATGATACGAGAAAAGTGAAGCCAACGACCACGGCAAGCATGTCTTGAGAAGGCTGACTTGAGAAATCCCGGCAGTGGATTTGTTCGGCAGGCAGCTTAATAGCCACCGCGACTGGAAGCGTCCCAGCCGCGGTACTTATGCCCCCATCATTAAATTCGAATCAAATGCATGTTTGGCGATCCGATATGGAGCCAAGGCTTGGTCCAACATGACCAAGGGACTTACAGGACGCAGTCTGGATCTTCTTAGTCTCACCTAAAGCTAGAATTTCTGCACCAGGTCATCCCATTCGGCATTCTCGCTGTGTCGTTCCATCCGCGCTATTCCTCAGCTATTGTCGGGCTGTGCCGAATTGAATTGGAAGGAATTATGCAAGTCGACAAGCGGGGTAAAATACCAGGTTGCGCAAAGTCAAGTCTGCATGGGTTTCATCGCATGGCGTGGCATTAGTGGCTTTGCCTTGTGCGCGAGACTGCTGATCTGTATACTTCCTTTTCTTCAACCCTGTCGCCCCTGCACGCAACATTCAATTAGTCTCTCTACTCGCTTCTGTTAATTTCTCGTCTCTCTATAGGACTCCGATTCAAGCGTTGACGGAACCGCTCAATTGACGAATTCAATGACCCTCAGTCGTCATCAAAATTCCATCTTTGTTGACATATTTTAGACTGCAGCAACCTCAGTTTCTAGTCACAACGCCTCAGACTTGCTATCACATTTGATTACAAGAGAGGTATTAGGGAGGATCTACGGTCCAAAGAAGGGAAACCATGGGGGAAGCTCCTCCTTTCGGCTCTATTAAGCTCATATCGGATAGAATGGAAAAGCCGCTGTTGGACAATCGCTCATACCGAGTGATTCAGTTGTCCAATCAACTAGAAGTCCTTTTGATCCATGATCCAGACACTGATAAAGCCGCCGCTGCTATGGATGTCAACGTTGGTAGCTTCAGCGATCCGGATGACCTGCCGGGGACCGCGCACGCGGTAGAACATTTGTGTTTCATGGGTACGAAGAAGGTGAGGACCGATCTACAGACCTATTTGAAACACAATAGCTTATATTGACGACGAAACAAACACTGACATACTTTTGCTTAGTATCCGGCAGAGTCTGAATATAGCACTTATTTAGCCAAGCATGGTGGCTACTCCAACGCCTACACGGCCTCAACATCAACCAATTACTTTTTCGAACTATCAGCGAGTTCAATGTCCAATAGCCCGGGTTCAGTCGCAACTGTAGAGCAATCCAATGTTACCATCACCAAAGATAAGACTCCCCTCTATGGTGCTCTCGATCGTTTTTCGCAATTCTTCATCCAGCCACTCTTTCTCCCCGATACCCTAGATCGCGAACTCCGCGCTGTGGATTCAGAGAACAAAAAGAATCTTCAAAGCGACACATGGCGCCTGGAACAACTGGGCCGCAGCACTTCGAGTGAGAAGCATCCCATCCGCAAGTTTGCTACTGGCAACTATCAATGTTTACATGAGGAACCGGTGTCGCGAGGCATCGATATCCGGAAGCGCTTCATTGAGTTTCACGAAGCTCATTATTCGGCGAATCGTATGAAGCTCGTCGTTCTGGGTAGAGAGGCATTGCAGGAATTAGAAAGTTGGGTTCAGGAGCTCTTTTCTGATGTACCGAACAAAAGCCTGCACCGTCTGAGGTGGGACAACATACCAGTCTTAAATGAGTCCGAGCTCATGACTCAAATATTTGTCAAACCAGTGACGGAGCAAAGACAGTTAAACATTGACTTCACGTATCCCGATGAAGAAGAACTTGTTGACTCCCATCCCAGTCAGTATCTGGCGCATCTGGTTTCCCATGGGGGTCCTGGCAGTGCTCTTGCTTATCTGAAGGAGCTGGGTCTCGCAGTTTCTTTATCGGCTGGGGCTTCTGCTTTGTGTCCCGGCACAGCTCTTTTCTGTATTGACGTGATGCTTACTGAAAAAGGCGTTCGGCAATACCGGGATGTCTTGAAAGTTGTCTTCCAATATATCGCTATGCTAAAAGAGAACCCACCGTCTGCCTGGATCTCGGATGAAATGAGCCGCTTGGCTGAGATGGACTTCAAGTTCAGGCAGAAAAGCCCTCCATCCCGAACTGTGAGCGATCTAGCTCAGCTCATGCAGAATGCTTGTATACCACGCGAGCATTTACTCAGCCCTTTCCTAGTCCGCAAGTTTGATCCGGAAAGCATCCAGTCCGGTCTGTCTCATCTACGCCCTGATAAGTTTCGATTCTTTCTTGTTGATCAGCAGTTTCCGGGGAACTGGGACGCAAAAGAAAAATGGTACGGAACCGAATACAAGCTCGAAAAGATCCGCAAAGATTTCATGCAGGAGCTTTGGAAAGCCGCGCAGGCTCCGATAACAGAGAGACACTCTATACTTCACTTACCGGCTGTGAACGAGTTTATTCCTCGACGGTTAGGTGTTGACCGGAAGGATGTCACAGAACCAGCTCGACACCCTACGCTAGTCCGCCATGATGACCATGTCCGTGTGTGGTTCAAACAGGACGATCAGTTCTGGGTGCCCAAAGCCAATATAAAGATCCTTCTTCGGTCCCCTATAGTCTCACTCACTCCGATGCATGCTGTCATGACACGATTATACGTTGAGCTGGTCGAAGACAGCCTCATTGAATACGCTTACAACGCGGATAAGGCCGGTTTGAGCTACGCTATATCCGAAAGTTCACAGGGACTCAATATAGAGCTAAAGGGCTTTAACGACAAAATGTCAGTGCTTCTGGAGAAAGTATTACTAGCAGTAAGAGACTTAAAAATCAAGCAAGAGCAATTCGATGTGGCCAAGGACAGGGTGTGGAAAGCATATAAGAATTTCGACTACATGGAGCCGTACCGACAAATCAATGCCTTCTCACGCATGTTGATCAACGAAAGATCCTGGACTCCTTTTCTATTGGTCGAGGAGCTTCCAGCAGTGACAGCCGAGGACATAAATTTATACTATCCTCACCTGTTGCGACAGATGCATATTGAGATTCTCGTTCATGGCAATCTAAATAAAGAAGACGCGCTGAACCTTACAGGTTTAGTGGAGTCAACACTCCGCCCACGTCGATTACCAGAGAGCCAGTGGTTATCACGCCGCACGATTGCGTTACCAAGTGGAGCAAATTACCTATATGAGCGTGAACTGAGAAATCCGGATAACGTCAATAACTGTCTCGAGTATACCATTTCGGTCGGCTCTGTCTCGGATCGCTCGCAACGAGCCAAGCTGCTACTTTTCTCCCAAATTGCCGAAGTGCCTTGCTTCAGCACGCTGCGCACTAAAGAGCAGCTTGGATATATCGTCAACTCTGCTATAGGAGTCTATGTAACGACCGGTACATGGCGTATCCTCGTGCAAAGCGAGAGGGACTGTAAACACCTTGAAGAGCGCTGTGATGCATTTTTGGTAAACTTTGAGCATCATCTGCGCGCGATGACCGACGAAACGTTCGAGGAGCATAAGGTCGGATTGATCAATAAACGCATGGAGAAATTGAAGAATTTGGACCAAGAGACGTCGCGATTTTGGACTCATATTACCAGTGAGGCGCTTGACTTTGAGCAAGGTGTGTTTGCTACTTTCCAGATTGTTTTGATCTATGCCCTGTGCAATAGCTAATTTGAACGACCAAATTGCCAGTTTATCACGACGTCGAACACATTGAACCACTTACAAAGGAAGACATACTGCAGTTTTTTGACCAGCACATCCATCCCTCTTCTCCAACACGCGCAAAACTGGCTATACATCTTATTGCACAAGCATCAGCTACAGCAGACGCTGCATCAGGAGACAGTGCCGTCGCTGTAGGGAACCCTGACGCCTTAGGGTTGCCTGAAACCCAAGACGCTGTAGCAGCCAACGCATATGAACCTTCAGTGTCACCCGCGATTATTCCCATCAAGATTGACAATGTCAGAACATGGAAGGCAAGTCTGCCGCTTTCGCGGGCTGCAGCTCCAGTGAAGGGCCGAGCCGAATTCGGGGAGTCCAATTCGGAGTCATGATATTCCATATTCCTTTTCAGGGCCTTCAATCGGAAAGGAAAGCGAATGCTCTATACGAAAGAATAAGTTCTGAGATATAGGAATTGTCTATGGACTTGATCAGCAGAAGTATAAATAACATTGATGTTTATCCTTACCGTCGTCGATCGTCTGCTTCACTGCAGATCATCACTACAATTGCGCACTATCATACCAGGGATGCAACGACAAGGTGCAACGCTTTCCAGTATGTCCTTGTGTAGACTTGATTGGTGTAGGATGACTATGTTTACTCAACGATTCTATTCTGCATCTTTATTTGACCTCAACATATCAAGTGCCTCTGAGGCCTCTATTCGACTCGACGGCACAAATCTCATCAAATTTCGAATAACCAAAGCAAGACGAGTAAGTACCGGGTCCGGCTCCCTTCTACTGAGCCTTCGGTCTAGTTCAGACACCTCAACGTCTTTCTGTTCAATTAGCAAGCATACCTGTATTATATACGCACAACAACTTATCTACTCACCTTCTAACCATTCTAAGTCACGCTTAAAGCTCGATTTCATGCGCTCCCATATCGGCTGCCAGTCCTTTGGCAACTTCCCCACAAAACCGATCATCTGTAATACCAGGACTTCATCTTCACCTAGGTATTGGAACGGATATGACCCGAATATGAATGCATGGATCTCATCGTGATTTCAGAATTATATTCTCTGCACAAGAACATGAACAGCGTACTTACCATACATCCCGCACGCCACAAATCAACACGGTAGTCAAAGCAATTGGTGAAAATCAGCTCAGGGACCCGCAATTGCCCTGGCTGAGCAAGTATCTTAGGCTCATTTCCCTGAACGAATGCCTCTCCGAAGTCAAGAATCCGAATATCTTCTTCATCTTCATCTACCCAGGTTTCCCACTCTGCTGATTTAACTAGTTGCTTCGGTAAGCTGTTATCTAGTGGCTTGCCATCGAGTCGAGCTAACTCCTCAACTTCTGGAGATCCGAGAACTGCAAAGAGTTCGTCTTTTGTGGCGTGCGAGAGATTATTACAGCCGAAGGCAATGTTACCGCCGCTTATATCTATTTCTTGGTGAGTTCCATAGGTGGAGACATAGACTCTTTGCAGAGATATAGGAAGTTATACAAGGCATAAGGCTTACTTACCCCCATGCCCAATGCCAGCTTCATGAATCAAGCTAACGGCTTCTAGAAGCTGTTCCGACATCCGAAGGATAATGTCCATCTCAAGGTCATCTCCAAAGGAGTAATAGTCATCAACGACCTTATCGACAGAAGGACCGAGCAACTCGAATACAATACATAAGTGGGTCCCATTAGGGCCCTCATGGGTGAATGAGTCGAGGACCGAAACAATGTATTTTGCAGACGGCTTTCCCTGGGAGCGATCTGCTAATAGATTTAGATGATAAAGTTCTCGAGATCCTTGGGAAGTATCTGCTCTCATAATCTTCAGAGAAACCCATTGGTTGTTCCTGTTGTGTGTTAGTAGTAGGGAAAGAAAAAGTCCAATGCAGGACTCAGCTCACTCTCTGTCGTTCGCAAGCCACACAGTAGAAAACCCTCCCCACCCTAATTTATGATGTATCTCATAACGACCATCCTTGAAGGTATCTCCCAGGGAGACTGGATGGTATCCACCTGGTCGATACTTTGATAGTTTTTCCTGTGAGTAGAGGAGATTATTTTGCTCGTAGATGGATAGGTCTTCCATGGTCAAGTTGGGAACGACAATTGACGCTAAAAAGCCTATTCATTGACAACCTTCTAGCTAAGGCCTCCTGCTGTCAAGGTTATGTTTCTTTCTATGAACTCAGTAACGGATGCATGCTACGTAGTATCTACTTTGAACCTTCGGGGTCGTCTCCGGGCTGTGGGGACCAGCCTTTCAGACGCGGTGGGGGGAAGCCCATTTGTGGGGCCCGACAGGATCTTAGTGTCGATTGTATCATTCATGCCATTTGCTTTCAGATCAATTTTCGTGCCTATGTAGCAATTGACACATCAAGAACTAGTATTTAGTAGGTTCAACCTCCTAATATATGATATTGCAGAAAAATTCATCATGTGCCTGATGGATGGAACTAATGATGACACTACTAGGTACTACTAGTATATTTTTGAGAAAGAATGTCCAAGTGCAATACTACCCTAGTAAAAAAGAAATGCGAAGCTGCTTTTTAAGCACCAAGAACTGCACCTAGACACACCCCGACAGCAACTAATACGACAATTCTCAGTGTATTATATATTTGAGAAACAAAGTAGGCAGGTTCTGAGGATTAGTAGGGAAGCAAGTGAAGGCTTGCAGCACCTTACGTGGGAGATCTTACATGTGTTATGAATGGCCTGCAAATAAGATGTTGGTGAGGGCTGTTATCACAGCTGAATGTGTAGCTCCCTCATCAGGATATTCCCTCTATTATCGAGTACCGATCACTTCGGTTTCCTTCTTTGAATGAAGGAACAGAAGAAAGGCAATAAATCGATCATATGTGCTGACAGTGTCCTGCGCAACTGCCTCATTGCTCGCGTAGAGACCAGATTTCGGCACATTGGCACAATTTCTGATCATGGAAACTCGTTTTGGTGCTGGTATACTCTCCTGAAACGAGTATCAGTCACTACCGGTGATCAATGGTTCCAATCAGGAAACATGAAGTTGTACTCGCGAAGAGAGTTAATTGGCACTATGTGGTTGGTCGACAAAACCTGTGCAGCGTCGAAAGTTGTCGACTGTGACTGGAGGTGGCATGGGAATCTGTTACCGACTGAATAACTCGAATTCGAATTCGGGTTCTTTTGTATATGGCAGTCAAACCTTTTATGCATCTTGGGTACGTGTTGTACGCGCTCAACAGCTGGATTCGGTTCCCTTAAATAACATTGACATTCGCACCATCTATGGAATGAAGCGCCATCGAATATAAGCCCACGAAATCTTAAGGAATACTTTGATATGGGACTGATGTTGCGAGCACTTTCTGGGCCAGACGTATCTAATGCTCTTGAGAGACACTTATTGTCGGAAAGACTCTGCCCCTGAGGAATTAGCTCTCATCCGACGAGCTTGCTCTGCTGGTCATAGTTTTCTACTACTCAATTCTAGGCCCAGGATAACACACTCATGTATGTACATCAAGTACCCGCATTTCTGCTACACTCATCGCTCGCAAAGAATCATCAAACAATGCATGGTATTATCACACGATCAATCATTAAGAGACAAAGCACATCTATACCTCAATCTTCATCTCGCGCAATATCCTCGACACCAACTTCTTCTGATCCGCCGGGCTCAAATCATGCTCATCGATCGTAGTCAGACACCGTCCAACAGCTACCGTCGCCTTGACCGAAGTTTCACCTCCACTAGAACAGTCGACCCAGACTTTACCATTCCTTCCCACGGCGATCTCGAAGCCGCCCGATTTCTCCAGCTTCTTGCCCAGTTCGTCCAACACCACCAACCCGGCCACACCCTCCTGTGATTCAGAAGAAGATGAGCTGGCCCTCATCAGCCTCGCAGCCATTCCAGTAGAGATATCAAACACCATTCCCCCGTTCAATTGACCGAGTCCTCCAGGTTCAGCCTTGCCCGTCGCAGGGTTCACACAGGCCAGCTCAACCTCCGCGCCCGCACCCAGGCCGACCGAAAGCACACGCGCGTAAACCAAATCTCCTTGTTTCAGCATAGGACGGGTCTTCTTCGTCGCGCCTTCAAAAGACAGTTGTCCTAGTACTGCATGGGGCGCTTGCGGAGTGATCATGCAGTGAAAGTAATCCACACTGGAGTGGTGGACCTGTGCGATGACCAGGTCATTGACGGTAGGGATATAGCGGCGATTCGGAGTGGAGAGGATAGATACAGCATTCCGCTTGGTGTCTGTAGAGAGAATGCCGGCTTGTGTGGCTGTGAGGACATGGCTGGGGGAGGATGATGCTTGAGGGGAAGAAGAAGGCGGTTGCGAAAGTAGACGGAGACCGGGGCCAAGTCTCAATGGTGCGGAATTGGTGGATGGGAGGTATTCTGAGGGGATCTCGTCCCCGGGAAGGAGAACCAGAGGAGATGACATGTTGGATGTGTGTTTACCACTGGGGCCTGCAGTGGTTTTGGGGGGAAGAAAAGCGTGGAGATTCACGAATGCTGGAGTGGTGACCGCGACGGGCAAAAAGAAGCGCAAATCCAAAGGCTTATCGGATGGATCTTATCGCCACGTGATACTGTTCAAATCTAGATCGAAGATGAGGCGGGCTTCACGATGTTCTGACAGTAAACCATGCACGACATACTTGCCGTAAAATGGTAGTGCTCAAGCAATAACCTCCTCAATTCTTCAAACGGCGTCATGGATGTGGGCATTAATTGGGCTCCATCAGATATTCGACGGTATTGCTGCATGACTACCGAAATGTATCGTTGCACCGCCACAGTTCCTATCGATAAGCCATCAGCCACAGCTGCCCGCCAATTGCAAACCAGCCAAAATTTTTTTCCTTCGGGGCAAAACGAAGCGCGGCGGTTCGAGAAGCAGCAGCCCGACTTACTTTGACTTGATCCCTCCTCTTCTTCTTCCCTCCTCCCCCCAATCCTCTTCATCTTTTTTCACATCCTACCGTCAAGATGAGCTCCGAGACTAACGGCACCGCTGAGAGATTCGCCATCGGTATCTCCTTTGGCAACTCCTCCAGCTCCATTGCCCGTATCAACGCCGTATGTGAATTTTGTACCCTTCCCATGCGGTTGCCCGCCCCATTGGGACTTTTACACCACCGCTGTGCAAAGTTGCGACAGATCGCTGATTTGACTTGGGTTACAGGAAGGCAAGGCTGAGGTTATTGCCAACGAGGAGGGAGGTTAGTATATATTATGCGCTCTCTAAAAAGTCTTTCTTTGAACGCTTGACTTACCCATCACCAGACCGTCAAATCCCTACCGTCCTCTCCTACATTGATGGCGAGGAATACCACGGTACTCAGGCTAAGGCCCAGCTTATCCGCAACTCCAAGAACACCGTTGCCTACTTCAGAGATTTCCTTGGCAAGGAGTATGTCAACTTGTTCTGATGACAACCAGGCGCACATGCTGACGGACTTTCACAGCTTCAAGTCGATAGACCCCACTCCCTGCCACAACTCGGCCCACCCTCAACAGAGCGACTCGACCGTTGCTTTCTCCATCTGCGATACCACCAGCGAGACCCCCAACACTGTCACCGTCTCCGAGATCACAACCCGCCATCTCCGCCGTCTGAAGCAGTCTGCCGCTGATTTCCTTGGAAAGGAGGTCAACGCCGCTGTTATCACTGTCCCCACCGACTTCAAGGATGCTCAGCGTGAGGCTTTGATTGCTGCTGCCAACGCTGCTGGTCTCGAGGTCCTGCAGCTCATCCACGAGCCCGTTGCTGCTGTTCTTGCCTACGATGCTCGTCCGGAGGCTGTCGTGACCGACAAGTTGGTCGTTGTGGCTGACCTTGGCGGCACTCGCTCCGATGCCGCCGTCGTTGCTTGCCGTGGTGGCATGTACACCATTCTTGCCACTGCTCACGACTACGAGCTGGGCGGTGCTCAGTTGGACAAGATCATCATCGACCACTTCGCCAAGGAGTTCATGAAGAAGCACAAGACCGACCCCCGCGAGAACGCCCGTGGTCTGGCCAAGTTGAAGCTGGAGGGTGAGGCCACCAGAAAGGCTCTCAGTCTCGGTACCAACGCTACTCTGAGCATCGAGTCTCTCGCTGACGGCATTGACTACGGCTCTACCGTCAACCGTACCCGCTACGAGCTGCTCTCCGGCAAGGTGTTCGCTCAGTTCACCGGCCTGATCGACCAAGTTGTCAAGAAGGCTGGTCTCGATGTCCTGGACATTGATGAGGTTCGTTCCATCTCATCCATTCTGTTTGCAGCATCATATTAACTCTTGCAGGTTATCTTCGCTGGTGGTACTTCCCACACCCCCAAGATTGCCCAGCTGGCCCGCAACATCTTCCCCGAGAAGACCACCATCCTTGCCCCCTCCACCTTCATTGGTGCTATCAACCCCTCCGAGCTGGCCCCCAGAGGTGCCGCCATCCAGGCCTCCCTGATCCAGGAGTTCGACAAGGAGGACATCGAGCAGTCCATCCACCCCATGGTTACCGCTACCCCTCACCTCCAGAATGCCATTGGTGTCGAGTTCACCTCCGGCGAGACCGTTGACTTCAAGCCCCTCCTCAACACCGAGACTGCTCTCCCCGCTCGTCGTATTGCGCAGTTCTCTGTCCCCAAGGAGGGCGGTGATGTTTTCGTCCGTGTCTGCGAGGGTGTTCGTGAGATCAAGGTCACCAAGCCCGAGCCCAAGCCCAAGGAGGAGAAGCCCAAGACCGAAGAGGATGAGGATGACTCTGACTTCGACTCCGATGAGGAGGAAGAGGAGGAGATCCGTGAGATCATCTGGAAGACCGAGAAGCCCATTGCCGAGCTGGCCGTCAAGGGCGTCAAGGCTGGCAGCAAGGTCGAGCTGATGGTTCACGTCAACGCTGACCTTGGCCTGCAGATCACGGCCAAGGAGGTTGGCGGCCAAAGCGCCGTCCGCGGTGCCGTTGAGGCTCCCAAGGCCTAGATCTCCTATTAACGTATAATTTTCTTGCTCATATATCTTTGAACATCTCAAGACTATAACGATGCTTTTCCTTCTATGAATCGATCTAGAATTTTATAACCTGAAATGTTGAACGGTATCTGTGACTGCTGTGGCTGCTTTGCAACTAGCCTTGCATTCATTGTGTGCATGGGGCAGGGCTCAGGGGTCTGTTCTGCATTCTGTCTTGCTATGACTTATTGATGATGATGTATCGATGAAGGCTTCTAAAAGTATATAGAGCTGTTTTGAAGCACAATAGAAAGCCGATGGGTTTCTAGACCACTTTTCTAACGTTTCTAGAAAGTAACATTGTATTAAACTAAAGCTGTGCCGTAATTGTGCCGTAGACTTTCACCCTTTGCATCTGTAGGACATCATTCATCATCTTATGATTCTTAAGCAATTTATAGCACAAGTACAGACACTCCGAGTAATACAAGCCCAGTACTCGCAGATAGAAATAAGAAAAGAAAATGATTAGCAACAGAAGACAAATGTCTAAAAGGATAGGGAAAAAAAAAAAAAAAAAAAAAAAAAAAAAAAAAAAAAAAAAAAAAAAAAAAAAAAAAAAAGAAGGGGGCGTACTAGTATTCTCAATTGATCTCATACATTATATGCGTATAGCCAATTGCCAGTTTCTGCTTTTTTGTCGACCATGTGTAGTAATTGACATCTACAAGTGATGGGCCGCTTATATTTCAAAACGAGGAGAAAGTTGCAATGAGGAAGAGAGTGGCAGTATGCGGTGTCTGCTCAAGAGCCGTAGCGGGTTTGGTACAGTACACCATTTAGATCTAAAAGGAGGTGGCACTTGACCGGGACTTAGTGCGAATATGTTGCAGTCTGACTACAAAATAGTAGTGACTAGCATGAAGTATAAGTTATGATACTGATACAGTATACATTACGAATAATGTCGTATCCGTAAGCCTTCAGTCGTCGAATCAATTCTTTTCAAATAAATTGTATTACAATTAGGGGCAGATAGATATAAAGTAGCAGACAGTATAATACATGAGATTGGCCGAGGAAACAGACAGAGATTCATCAAAGAGACATTAATGTAAGCATGCGTGGATGAGCCCACTCGTTCACTCAGGACGGCGTGTGGCTCCTCAGCCCGCAAAGCGTAAAGTCATCAAAACAGTCAGATCCATACTCCGGTAGACGCTCCCTCCTGTGTTGAGGGGACGAAATAGGCTTGCAGCCGATACCTAGACAGTTGTGACAGAAGTCGTTGTACTGTAGTAGGTATCGACGAAATACTATAGCCCAGTTCTTTCATTTCCGCTTGGGTAACATCCAAGAAACAAGACCATGTCGAATTTATGGCGCAGTCTCCTTGTTGCTTCTTACGCTGTTTGAGCGTGCGGACGAGAAGAAACCGCGCCGGCGGTGCTCACGGCCACTGTATCCTCTTTCTTTGCGTCCGACAGCACCACCCATGCAATAGAACATGCATGCAAGCATCAAGCAAGCCACAGCAGTCCACATGAAAGCGAAAGCCTTAACACCCACGCTGGCGCTCTGGCCATTGGCGTTGAACTTGTTGCGGCCCTGGACGTAAACAGCCCTGATGGTTGTCAGTAAAGGTCTGTGTTTAATTCTTGTGTTAAAACTTACGTGATGAGGCAAGTCGTGATGATCTGGAAAACCAAGGCGATCCAAGCCATGAGCGAAGATACATAGCTGCCAATGCGCGTGCACATGGCCAGGAACCCAGTGAACAGCGACACCACGCCAAAGAATAGCGCGATGATGAGGAAGGGGAACGAGAACCGAGATGTCAGGAAGTAGTGGTTCGTGCTGTGGCATGTTAGATCGCGATCATAGTATAGGTGAGCCGGCAATTGAGTTCTTGCTTACCCAATGAAAGCAGAGGGAATGTTCTGAGTGGTGTCAAAGTTGCGGTGGCTCGGAGGATCAAATGGGAAGTCTGGGTACGACGATCCGCATAGATTCTTTCCATTCGCCGTCACTGCACATATCTCCCAGAACGTCCAGCGAGATAGGGATGGGGCACCTGGGATATTGCTTGTGTCGACCTGCAGGAAGAAGATTTCGTTCAAGGGCCGCGAGTTTCTCGCTCCGCCCAACAAAGTCAGGAACATCAACAGAAGAGCACCGGCCGTGAAGAACAGGCCTAGGAAGCCCATTGCAACTCCTAGAGCACAGTTAATGTCAGTTTAGTCGTTGTGCGACGCAGCAGGGATCCGTCCTGCAGGGAATATACTCACTGCTGAGAGCCATTGTGATGGTAATTGATTGTAATTTCTGAGTCTGCTAGTAGGTTGATAATCGAGAGTGTTCCCAGCACAAGCTAGTTTATTGGTTGCGACAGGTATCTATCTATCATTCGGGGGAGAGATACAAGGCCGTATAGATGGGGAAGAAGAACAAGAACAGACGAAGAGGGATCGAAAGGGTCTGCGAGGGAGTGGATATCCGGAGAAGCCGGTGGAGGGACGTGAGAGGGAGGGGGGGAAATAAAGTACCAGGGGAGCCATAGTAGTGATATAATGATGAGGGTGACCTTTCAACAATGAGCGTAACTGCGAATCAATGTTTTCTTTGGATCGACGAGGCACAAACTGGCCAGCCATGACGGCGTCGACGTCATGGTTGCAGCAAGCCCCGCTAACTGTCCTCGGCTAGTCTAAACCTTAGCGTTGCGCTATTCTCTTTCAGGATAAGGCTGCCTGAAGGCCTGGGCGCTGAGGCCCATCGTTTCTCATCCATGACGTTGTCGAACTCCCTCTTCCGCTGCAACTTTCGTCCTCTGAACAAACGTTGCACCACCCATCATCCATCCATTGAGTTGGGTACCCGCCTTTGCTCCTCTCGGATCGACGTGGATCACACGAAAGCCAATGCGGATTTTTTCTTCTGTCGACTTCGTCACCAGACCCTGAAGACAAACCCTGCTGCCTACCGTGTCCTGTCCACACCCACCACCCCCCCAATAACCCCCATTGCTTCCCTACCGATCCATTGACCACTGCCGGGCCAAAGGTACAATCGTCCGATCTCCCGAGGGTCGCAACTAACCCGCTGGGTCAATACTCACAATGGCCACTTGGGCTTACCCGCCTGTACCCCCAGAGCGCCTAGAACAGGAAGTCGACTCCGCGTTGGTATGCCCTGTTTTATTTCCCCGTGTCCCGGTGAACCTCAAATTTGAGCCGGCCCGATGGCGCGCATGCATCATCGATAGGGCCAGGACAATACTAACTTTTTCTACCAACTACTATAGGCGAAGGAGCTAGAATGGCTATTACGTTCGCTGCAAGACTCCCTTACCTCGTTACGAGAGGGCCTCCATGAATGCGCAGCCCTATTGGCACCCAAGGAGCCGGGATCAACACTCGTCCTCTCATCTCTACGCTCAGAAAATGTAAAAGGTTTTGTGACTCGGGTTGGGACAAAGATCGTGAAAGGCGTATGTTGTTACTATCCACGTTTGTTGCTTACTATGCAGCCCAGTGTTATGGATCCGCATTCTTTGCGCGCTTTGGCCGTTGCTTATCACAACGTAGCGCTTCCAGGTTGATGCTGATCGAGTCTATTTCTATAGGACATCCAACTCCGTCTTAGCTCCCTTGCCTCGCGGGGCTCGGCCACCACCCGCCTGTGTCTGGCGAATACGCCTACAACACCCGAGCTCATTTTAAGTCAACTAGTATCGGTCAAAAACTTGGTCAACCAAAGTCTGGATATTGTCGATGTAAGCACTTGGACTGGTGACCCGCTCAACGCCGGCTTCATCTACAGCCAACTGCACCTCCTCCGCGAGACCATCAGTGAAGCACGGCAGATGTTGAAGGGCGAAAATGACAAAGTCAGAGGCAAGTGGTGGGAGACAAGTGCGCAAGAGGAGGTAAGTGGCTCTACTTTTGCTTCCATCATTCTAGGCCATGGGCTGAACTGTAGTCGTAGATGTTTGATCCCCCGCTACCGGCGTACTTATCGTTCCATCTATCCATTGCGGATTCGGCTCTGGTCCTTTATTTGAGGACGCTAGAATCTAATACCCCCGTTCACACGCCAACCGCATTCGCGACTGATATATCTCTGACCGGGTTCAACCTGCGGGATCGGTTGTTTGGAAGCCGCCATCGTCCTCACGATGAGGCAGGCGATGTTTTCACCTGGAAAGGAGATGAAGTCAAAGTGAGGGAGAAGATCCGCGTAGAGAGCCAGGACCCTAGCCTTATGGCCGTGATGGCCAAACTAACCGCTCTTGAGCACGAAGTGATGAAGTGGATATCAGCTCTGAAGGTGCTCATGGGTAACGAAGATACAGACAGCGAGTCTCAGTAGTATCCCCAGCTCTACTATAGTTTGTAAATAGCGACTATTAATATGCACCCATCATTCCACCTCTAATTTGGGAGGATGCAAGTCCATTGCTGTTGGTTCCTAAGGCCGCAACTGGGTCTAGATGATTATGTAAGAACATGTTACTTAATCAGCCAATAGGAACAGCGGAATTTCTGATGGACATGCGGCTTGGCGCGAGTTTTCCTGTCAAAAGCTCTCCAGTGGCAAGTCGATTTCTTCCAGGTACAAGCTCCTGATACTTGCATCTCGAGCCGTGGAAGGGTTGACGATGCTGTCACGATCTCCGGCAGTCAGGGCGACCCGGTCCCATCCCCATGGCCTTTTACGTCCGGCCGTATTCAGGTCGCCGCAGACCGGTTCGCAGCCACTCCGCCGCGGAGCTGCGAGCTTCATAGCTGGGCGCCCCGGAACCTCAATCGCCCGCAAAGCGTCCCCATCGACCTTACATTTGGAATCTCTACTCAAGGAAGCTCCCCACGTTCGCTCTCATCCATGGCTGCACGGCCGGCGGCATGCGTCGTCCACGACACCGACGGAGACCGATCCCGATGCGAAGAAGGATACCATCTACGCCTTGGTCGACAAGATCAATCAAACGGATCTGGAAATGGCTGAGCTTATGTACGAGCTAGACCTTTTGGACGACCATGAGAAAGCGCTCAACCTCGAAGGTCTCGATTTCGATTATGCGTTGAGTCAGACGATCGGTCACCGGGACGAAGAAACGTTGGATGCGCGGGTGCGGCAAGCAAGACAGGAATTTGGTGAATATCTTCCGGAGGGGCTCTTGAATGATAGAGAGACTCAGCTGTACACTCGGTTGTACGGCGAGCCTGTCTATCTTGCGCAGGAGTCTGAGCTGGATCTGGTGGAAGAAGGAGAAGAGATAGATCCGGATAGGCTGTACCGTGAAGATGGCGAGGGCGGCTGGGAAGAAGTCGAGCTGGATGGATCTGAGACACACGATGAGCCTCCGTTGGTCTATGATATGGAAGCTCCGCCGTCAATCGAGGAAACGATCACGATGCAACGGACGAGAGAAGTCGCCGAGCAGCTAGGCGGAGAGATCATGCTCGAGCAGTTCGAAGATGAGGCAGCATCAGACTCGGCTCCCAAATTCCATCCTCTAACAACAATGGGAAAGTTTTCCACCGATCCCAGCACTATATTCATACCGAAGGATAGCGTGACGGGCCCAATCTCTGTCATTCTGTCGGACTTCTCGAACAAGCATATTGCGGACACCGCCCATCGCACACTTGGCGGCCAATACCTTCCTTATTCTACTACAACCCCACCCTTGCGCTTGCAAGCTCCTCAACAGCCGATTCCTCTAGAAGCGGCCCAGCGGTACATGAGCGAGATGGAAGCCAATGTCTTCCTTGCCGCTCTCTACCCCGGCATGTATGCGTCTGTGCTGAGTGTTCTGGTGGAAGTCCGCAAACGCTTGGGTACGGACTGGATCCGGAACCTGATGACACAAGAAGGCGGACCCCATGTCCTCGATGTCAGCGCCGGCGGTGCAGGTGTCTTGGCGTGGAGAGACATCCTTCGTGCGGCGTGGGAAGCCATGACCCCAGAGCACAGCCCAGAGGACCCCTATCCCGTGGGCCGGTCGACGGTTGTTACTGGATCCGACACTCTTCGTCTCCGTGCCAGCGCGATGCTCGAAGACACCAGCTTCCTCCCGCGGCTGCCCGACTACGTTCACGTCCGCGAAAAGCCAACCTTGCAAGACGAGCGGGCTCCGCCAAAGCGGAAACAGTACGACATTATCATTGCTCCACACTCGTTGCTCGGAATCGAGGAAGAGTTCCTCCGGAAGGAACATGTACAGAACCTGTGGAACCTCCTGAACCCCAACGGGGGCGTCCTGATCCTCCTCGAGAAGGGACACCAAAAGGGTTTCGAAGCCGTTGCCGGAGCGCGTGACATGCTCCTGAAACGATTCATCTCCAGCCCCGGATCTACCAGATATGAGAATTTGACAGATTCGCCCGAAGAAGATACATTCATCGAGAAAGAAGCCGGCATGATCGTCGCTCCCTGTACCAACCACAACAAGTGCCCCATGTACCAAATCCCCGGTCATACCAAGGGCCGTAGAGATTACTGTCACTTCCAACAACGCTATATCCGCCCAGCCTTCCTACAGCGCATCATCGGCGCTAAGGATCGCAACCATGAGGACCTGAAATTCAGTTACATCGCCGTCCAGCGCGGCGTCGACCGGCGTATCGAGGACAGCATCATCCAGGGCACCGAAGCCGCAGATGCAGCCTTTGACGGCTATGAAGACGCAGTCGAGATGCCGAAGCAAGAAACCGAAGCATCCGCCAACGAAGCTGTCGCATCAGAGACTCAACCTACGCCTACCGAACAACAGGAAACAGGAGGAGTCAACTTCCTCTCCCTGCCCCGTATCGTCTACCAACCCATGAAGCGCCGCGGACACGTCATCTTCGACCTTTGCACGCCGGCCGGCAAGATCGAGCGCTGGACCGTCCCCCGGTCGTTCAGTCGGCAAGCGTACAAGGATGCGCGCAAGTCCCAGTGGGGAGACCTGTGGGCTCTTGGTGCGAAGACTCGTGTTGCGAGATCCTTGCGACTCGGTGAGAAGCATGGTGAGGGTAAGAAGGAACGACTTGCTCGGCGGGCTGCTGAGAAGCAGGAAATGGAGGAAGAGGAAGAGGATGCATTGGAGGAGAGAATGGAGCCTACCAGCAGTATGCCTGACATTCAGACTCCGCTTAAGAAGAAGGGTCAGAAGATACCCAGTTGGGAGAAGCAGCAGCTTAAGAAGAAGCGCAGACAGGCTTTGAAGCAGGTGAGACCTTCGGCCTGAGATTACTACGTCTGGGCTTGGTTGTTCTTTTTCGGGTATCTACATCGGAGTCAAAAAGTGGCGTATAAAGGGTTTGGATTGCTTCCTGGCTAGGGAGCATCGTTTGTGGTTTGGGGAAGGTCATTGTATTATATTCCTGTACGATATATGACATGTAGTATAGACCATAGCTGTTGGTTGTAAAAGACTTCTTCACTCAATGGCACAATCTCCATTATTCATTCACTTGTGCATGGACGTTACACATAACAGGCGGGGCAGCTCTATAGATCCCTCTGCAAGTGCCCCAGGGACTTTTATGACGAGCGTTCCACTTGAACACTCAATATTCCCAGCATAGTCCTCCAGGTCTGGCATCTTCCGCTCATACTGGTAAGGGCACAATGGCTATGGCTCCGCCGGTGGTCCTCCATTCACCGCAGCTGCATTTTCAGTATGCAGTGTCGACATGTAGATCATAGTGATAGCTCGAGTACGGCTGTTAGTCGATATCCGGCCGCACATCACGCGTCCCCAGCTACACTTTCTGACGTGGTGTAACCTCTTCTGGCATTGAAACCAATACCGTCGCCACATGGCTCTCATTCCTCTGCTGTCCTGCACTCGCAGAATCGTCCCAAGCGGCCTGAGCTGCCCATATCATCCCAGTTGTCGCAAAACTCAGCAAGCATCATCACATAATCCATCCCCAGCTCTAGTGAAACGCCATACTCTTCCTCAACTGCCTCTCCCTCTGCGTACTCTGCAGCTCCAACCGCTCCACCGCATACTGCAACCGTTCCTTCTTCTGCATCAGTCTCTTCAGCTCCGCCGCCTTCGCAGCCTTCCCCGAAGCGCCCGCGCTCTGCAGTCGATCGCCAAAAGCGCTACGCATCCTCGAAGGCTGACGGCTCTCATTCGAATACATTCTTCCCTCTTGCAGCTCGCATTTAGCTCTCAGGCCTTGTTCTCGTCGCGAGAGCTTCTCCACATGATTCGATGCTAGTGAGAGCAGATGTGCGATGCTGGGAGTGATTTCATCTAGGAGGGATTGTTGGGCTTCGCGCAGAGTGGGTTCGGGGAGAAGTTCAAAATGCTATTGGGGTTAGATTTAGTGTTTGATATTGAAGGCAGGGGTACGTACTCGGGTTGTTTGCAAGACCTTGCATAGTCGGGGAAAGTCGCTAATGCCGGAGTCGAGGGTGGAGATAGAGGAATCGAGGAGTTGGAGGGAGGATCCGAGGGATGAGACGGAGGCTTGGAGGTGATCTGCCATTTTGATTGTGTTCGAATGAAATATCAGGTATCTGCTGCAAGTAAAGAGTGTAGTGCCTTATTTTATCGTTATCGTGATTGTTGATTGTTTACTGCGGAGGGGCAACCGGCGATACGCAGCAGTAAAAGCGGCGCGGCAATTCCTTCCCGAAGCGTTAAAGCGGCCGGGGCTTCGGACTCCCGGACAAACCTCGTTGTACCCGCTCTCGTCTCGTCGCTCCTTCACCAGCTGCTCCAACTCCCGTCTTTCCTCCATACCCAGCACTTCGCTTTCAATCAAACGATCTGCCCACCATGTCTCTCCTCGGAAAGAAGTTCCCCACCCCCGTTGGTATGTTTGCCGTGGTCCTGGCGCGCCCATGTTGGGTCGAGAGATGAGAATATGAACTGACCTGCTTTGCTCATTTAGCCAAGCCTCTGGGCCCCTTCTTCGCTGCCGGTATGCATGCACACCTGTTACCTTGTTGAGTGGCTTTGTTTAGCGGGATAGCTATGCGGATATGGCGGAGTAGCTCCATTGAAGCATGTTAAGAGAGGGGTAAAGCGGCTTTCTAACGGTGTTTCGATCACAGGTCTGGTCATCCTCTACGGCGTCAACTCTTTCGCCAACGTCATGATGTCGAGTAAGTGAACCTGTCACGGCATTTTTCAATATCAGCACATTACCAAGCGTCCGCTTGAATCCAACATCGAGACTCGCTCCATCAATTCGACTGCACACGCTAACCTCGGTTGTTACAATTTAGCCGCCGAGTTCAAGAACGACCCCCGCAACCCCAACCTCAAGAACCAGAAGCATTAAATTAGCTCTGGGTGAATTTCCGAGCACGCGGATATGGCGGATGAATGCGTGGCTGTTGTGGGTAGTTTGAGAGCCCCGGTTGCTGCGGGTTCGCCGGTCATTCGAGTTTGCGGGCATTTACTGTGTATAAGCTTATAGAAGATACCGTCATACGACATTTGCCGAATTGATATGTTGTATACCTACCTTTCTCTTGCTTGTGGTGGTGTATCGCTGGGGGGTGTGCGGGATTGATGGGATGGCCGGAGGACTGATACGTAGGCCGCAGATGGATATGTGATGGATGGGAGCTTGTAATTGTTTGCGTAGGCGTAGTGTGGCGCGCTTCAATTCGTACGACATGTGCAATTATAGTAGTGGGCATGTATACTGGACCTTAGCTTTAAGGACGACGGACATACACTTGGTCATGAAGAAGTCACGTTATGCTTATGGTGTGCAGTTACAAGCCGGGGTTCGATGCGACAATGTAAAAGAATAAATCTATTCTCATCCATTCTGCCTCTATGGTAGTGCATACACAGCTTCGAAGTAGGCCTAGATTTTTGATAGTGCGCGTAGGCTGCACGGTCAAGGTAACAACATACAGATGATTCCTTTACCATATCACCAGAAATGACCATATTTTTCAAGAAGAAACCCATCATACATAACACATAATAGCCTATAATATTCAACTATCCCATACGTAATGCCTCGTATATACAACCTAAAAATCTCCTGCCATCCGGGTAGAAAGAGATATATGCCCCTAACCCAAACAGGCAATCCGCATCCCGACTCCCGTGACTTCGCCGCTCCGGCCAAAACCTCCGCCATCAAATCCATCCCCAATCGCATTCAAGCCAGAACAGCGCCAGGAAACCCCCTCACCAGCCAATATGTCGCAATTCCGGTCCAAGATCCTCGACCTCGGCGGGTTCATCAACCCCCGTGTTGTCCGCGACCACACCAAGCGGAAGGTTTTCGAGCAGTTCGAGCCGGAACGGTAATTTCAACCTACCTGCTGAAGGTCGAGCCGAACAGCTACTAATAGATTTATTCTGATATATAGCCAAGCTCTTCGCTACGTGATCCACAACACTTCCCTCCCCCAGCGTGTGCGCGCCCAGGCCCAGCTCCAGCTCGCTTCCATGCACGCCTACACTCGCTCGACGCAGATCAAGAACCGCTGTGTGGCGGGTGGTGTTCCTCGCAGTGTTATCCGGGCGTTTAGACTTGGTAGAGTAAGTTTATCCCTAGGGAGGGGGTCTTTGGTTGGATAAATACTAATAGTTGGTTTGTGCAGTACCAATTCCGTCAGCAGGCGCTGGCTGGTGAACTCCCCGGTGTGAAGAAGGCCAGTTGGTAAATTGCTATGGATTCATGCGAAAAGAATATATTTGGTAGCTTTCGTTTGGTTCGGCGGGTTCCTGAAAGGCGTTTGTTTCTTTCCTCCGTTTCCTTGTTGGTCAGAGGACTTGTACAATAGGTTTCTTTAGATGATGAGGAATACTACATCCCTTTCCATCGTCTTGGGTACTGTCCAGCTGAGCTGGTTCTTGATCAATTCGCAATGGGTGGTTGCGATGATAGTATCGTTAGTTTCTTGGGATTGTGTTCGGCATCATCCATGGCTGGATGTGACACCGTCGGATCTTAACGATTGGTCTGCGCAGTGAAGGCGGATGTTACATGAAGTACTAAGCTATGCATTGACAAACGCCTGCACTTGGCTTCACTTGACATTCACTGGCATTGGTTGGGAAGTTGCAGTTTCTGTTTGGTTCTTTTGTTTGCTCCTGCCATTGCTTTGCTTTACTCTAGATCTGTCGTCTCTGCCTCCATATCTCATCTCTCTCTTGCTGAATCCGCTCCCTATTACTTACACACTCGTTTTCTCGTCATCATCGAACTAAACTCGCCAGAATGTTCGTCTTCAGCCGAAAGGACCTCCCTGCGGAACCTGTCTTCCCCGCGGACCTGGAGAAATTGGGGTAAGAGGGACTGAGATGAGACCCAGTGCACAATTCATCTCAACTAACTAAGGTCAGGTACTTCATCACCAAAGATGACCAGATCAGAAAGATCTCCGCACCGAAAGAGGAGTTCCAATTCAAGATCAACAGGAACGAGCGCTGGAACGAGATGCAGCGAGAGGCCATGAACAGTACGCCTTCTGAACGCCACTCTTCGTGTATAACTAACCACTCTATATGATAGCATGCATTCGCAACATTGTCCTCTCCCGTCTTCGCGACCTCGGTCTCATCACTCTACGTCTTCCACTGACAGCTCGACCTACCGATGCGCATGTTCCCATCCTCATCTCCAAGAACCTGTCTACTGCTTCCCGCGTCATCGTTGTCTTCGGGGAGCCCGTACAAGACCTTGGCATCTGGGCTTACCGGACTCTCAGCAGCGATGGCATTGAAGTTGGGTCGGCGGTTGCATTTGCGCGGGCTGTTCTGAACCAGGAAGACACGGCGCTTGTCCTGGCAAATACCGGGCAATTGGTTTGGCACTGTGGATCTGGTAAAGCGATGACACTGACATCCTGGCCTTGCGTTCCTCGAGAGTCGGCTGTAGATCCTCCTCTGGTTATGACTCGTCGGAACAAGATCCCTGGAAATGGGGACTGGCAGGAACATATTCAGTATGTGTTCGAGGAGATCTTGGCTGCTCGGGGTCGGCTTGTTAGGGCTGGTGCGAAGATTGGGGTTGTTGGGTTGGATGATGGGGGACTGGGTGTTATCCGGTATTTGGGGAGTAATTGTAGGTTTTTCTTCAGGTTTCAAGGTTGATTAGTAGCTGGTTGTCTGGTATCTAGCTAACAAATGACAGGGGAAGCATGGCGTCCATATATATCAGCAATTTGTCTCACCAGTCCATTTCATCGCATGGGTGTTGATTTTGGAGACAAGGATGGTAAAGAAGCAAAGGATCCCTCATCGTTTGTGAGCTTTGTTTCCTCACGGTGCCGTGGATATGTCCTGTCTGAGCAGGCTCTCGGACTGCCTGTCCCTGCTCCTGAGCATCATGGGTGCAACTGCTATTCGTCTGGCGAGGCGCTGATTTCTGAGTGCATTATGCCCAAGGCGTGGGAGGATATACTGAAGTGGCTCAATAAGACTTTCGAGGACCCGGATTTTTGCGAGGCTAACTTGATGTTTAGGGAATTTGAGGGTAATATGGGGGGTGATGCTATTGAGAGAGTTGCCGAGCTTGAGGAAGAAGATGATTGATATTGCTTGCGCAGTATACTTAGCACCGATTTCTTTATTTGAACAAATCTTGACAGCCAACGTGCATACTATGTCCATCATTAGTCCATTAAACAGTTATACATATCTGTAGAGTGTAGCACGTCAAATAGTAGTAAACGCTATTCGCTACTCCCATCCCTCTGCATATCCACATTCTTCTCCTTCTCCTCCCATTTCTCTCTCACCCTCCTCCTCAACCCCCCATTCACACCCCTTCCCCAGATAACCTCCTCCTCTTTACCCCCAACCCTCTCCACCCCATCCTCATCACCCTGCTTAACCTTCCCCCCAACCCTCTCACTTTCCACAACCACCTTCCTCTCCTTCACCCTCCTCTCCCTCCCCTTTGCAACCTCCACCTTCCTCAAATAAATCGCATAGATCATCACCTCCGCCACCCCCACCACCACCGCCGCCCCCAGCGACACCAAAACCTTCACCGACTCTGATACTCCTTGCCCTGTGCCCGTTCCCCTCCAAATCCTTGCTACAGTGGAGACTAGCATCTCGGGAGACCGGAAACTCCGCAGAGCCCAGTACACGCTGAACCCAGTGATGAGGACGGAGAGGAAGATGTTCAGGACGAGGCCGGGTGTGAGGGGGTCTGTTTCTTCATTGTTATTGCTAGATTTGTTGTGCAGGGCTTCGACGGTGGGTGTTGAAGAGGTGAAGATTGAGGGTTTTGTTGGTGCTGGGGTTCTGGATGATGGAGGGAAGAAAGCGGATGAGGAGAAAGTCGAGGATGAAGTCATACGGTTGTAGGCGTCTGTTTCGGCTGCGGCGAGGAGGCGCGCTTTGAGGGCGAGGTATTCGGGGCTCTATATTTATTGTCGTTGGTTAGTTTGAATATGCTTATTGGTATAGTGTTGGGGAGGTGTTGGGGATAGGTGTTTACCGGCTCGGGTTTCTTGGGCGGCGGGGGAATGTAGACTTTTGTTCCGCGGAGGAGGGAGTTCAGGGTTTTGGTTTCCTCAATCGAAGAGGTGGAGTTGGAGGTATCTGTTTGTCGAAAGTATCGAGCTATTCTGATCAATTGGTCGTGGGAGATTGGGTCCTCCAGGTTCAAGGTATCGGGGAGGGAGAAGTCATGTCGCGAGGTAGGAGGGAGGGCCTCGATGGCGGCGAGGATGGGAGGTGTTGTGGTTAGGAGAACCATGGCGTATTATGTATCTATATCATTCTGTTTGTGTAGCTGTGCGAGGTGAAGTTGGCTAAGAGAAAGGAAGAATAGTTGTAGATACTATGCTGATGATGAAGATCGCCGCAGATGACACCATTCCCAAACAGGCAATCAACTCCCCCACTCCATCATTATCATTATTCCTCGCTCTCTCCTCCGCGGCTTGCAGTACATCTCTTTACCTCCGCCCTCCTCTGTCTATTATATACTCCGGCCTGTCTGCCACCTATTCACCATGGCAGACAAGAAGACTTCCTCGTAAGTACTCCATGTCCAGTACCCTCGAAAAACACACTTCTCCGTACACCTTCGCTATAGCCCACCCCTCCCCTCTCAACCCAAATATCCCCAAATCACAACCCCCCTCCAACTACAACACCCACAAACCCCCCCTCAACAACCACAACCCAGACCACGACTAACTCTTTCCCCCCGGGAAATCCAGAGTAACACCCCCCACCAACCCGCGCGGCATTCCCGCCGCCCCCTTCGTCGACAATGTCGCCGACTACGTCTCCTCGCGCAGCGAAGTCGAGCCGACACTGCGCTCCTTCCAAGAGATGATCTCGAAGTACCAATTCATGGAAGTCAACACGCAGCGGCGGGCCCAAGGCCTGCGCGACAAGATCCCCGACATCAAGAAGACGTTGGAGATGGTGCGGTTCCTGAAACTCAGAAGAGAAAGCGCCTCGGACAAGCCTCTCGAAACGAACTTCGAACTGAACGATACGTTGTACGCAAGGGCGACGGTCTCCCCCGCCGACACGGAGGAAGTGTATCTCTGGCTTGGCGCGAATGTCATGCTTGCGTACCCGATTGAGGAGGCTGAGAGCATGTTGGATGACAAGTTGTCTGCTGCGGAGAAGAGTCTCGGGAACTGTGAGGAGGATTTGGAATTTTTGAGGGAGCAAATTACGGTATGTCCTTCTCTCTGGTTTCTTTTTCTTTGGTTTCTGGGGCTAATGGTATTTGTAGACGCTTGAGGTTGCGACGGCTCGGGTCTATAATTGGGATGTGGTGCAGAGACGGAAAGAAAAGGCGGAGGGTAAAGGAGATGATGAAGGGGAGAAGGCCGCTTGATATCATTTTAGAGAGATATGATACTTTTAATGTACTGTTTTTGTTGTTTCTGGTTCTGTCTCCGACTACCCTTTTGTATGTATTTAGTGTCAAAAGCAGGCATGGATATAAAAGTCTACATGAAAACTGAGAGTATGAAACCATACAATGATGTCCATTGCGCCAGTGCCATTATATAATCTATGATCGCCGAAAAATAAACATGTAGACCACGCACGCTCGTCCAAACACTAGCTCAACATCGATTAGAAATATATTAAGTCATGCCAGCAGCTGTGCATCTCGTAAATCATCAATCGCAGCATCTGTCTCTCAAACCAGACCTTTGCAATCCCAAAGTGGAGAAGCCGAATCGAAAGCAATATTAAAGGCATATATCACCGAATAGAGCAAATGCCACAGTTCGTAAATCATACGACGGGAACATCTCGTTGGTTAGCAGTTCACGCGGAGCCATGAGTCCGTCAACACGCAATCATATTAGCCACATCAGGCGACAGTCGGCCGCATCTCCAACTCGGTATCGTCCTCGACAATTGTCCACTCCTCCTCGGGTACGTCCTCATCCGCTTCCTGCTCTGCCACTGTCTTCGCCGACGGCGTGGGCGAGAACGGCGTCGAAGATACATTGGAGCGCGCTTGAGCCAGGGTTTTGGCGTACTCTAGGTCACGGTAGATCGCCTGGATAGCCGTGTCCACCCCGTCCTCCTGATCGATCGTTAGCAGGTCAACATCACCGAGTTGTATCCAACTTACACTTCGGATTTGCGCTCCTAGCTTGTGGGCTTTAACAATCATGCGCTCGTCATGAGTTGCCTCCCACAGAGCCCGTGAGAACATCGTGACGTTCAGCTTCTTTAAACAGATACCCACGCCCAAGTCTTCAACTCGCGTTCCGAAAAAGAACTGGTCGCCAAAGAATGGCTTGACAATGGTAGGGACACCGGCGCGCAGACTTGCTCCGGTAGTTCCAGCGCCACCATGGTGCGCGGCGGCATCGATATGCGAGAAGAGCCAGTCATGAGGTGCCGATTGAATCTGGTAGATCTCCGGCGGGAGAGGGACCTCTGATTTCGCACTAGCCGGGTCTCCTAGACGATCAGACCAGCCCTTGGACAGGATGCAGCGGACATCGGCCTTTTGAACGGATTCGATGACAGTGCGCGTGAGAGCGGAAGGATCGGACACAACGATTGACCCGAACCCGATGTAAACGACCTTCTTCTCATCCTTGCGAGCACGTTGGATAAAGTCGACCAGTTCCGCTGGAGGGGTCCAGTCAGAACCCTCACTGAGAAACCAGTACCCAGTTATGCGAATCCAGTCTGGATAGTCTAGCGGTGGGGGCACCACGGTGGGGGAATAGTTGTAAAGGAATGGAACCTTATTCGGCTGCATCTTGTCCAGACCGGTTGCCTTCAAACCCAATTCTTTCTTCCGCCAGCGGTTCACCTGTCCCGCAACTGACTTCCAAAATACGTTATCAAACATAACGTAAGTGATGTAGTTGTATGCACCGCCCATCTTGTGCTCAGGAACCGCAAATGCATGGGGATATGCTCGTGTTCTTGACCAAGGCATTGTAAAGGCGCGGAAGTATGGGATTCGGAGTGCCTCGGCGATGTGTATCCCAGCCATCGCACTTGGGGATTCGATGAGGAGATCTGTGTCCTGGCAAGCTTTCCACGCAGACGACAGCAAGTCGTCAATCCATCCCCGAAACTTTGCCGTTGCCTCTTTGAAGAACGAGTAGGTAAACATTCCGTTCTCTACACATATCCGCATAAGCTCTGCCGGATCACCATCGACTAGCGCAAAGTCAATGCCATGCTTTCTCACCCAAGGCTCAAACTCCGCGTGAGTTGCAATCTTGGGCCTATGCCCTTCGGCAAGAAGGCCTTTACATAATGCAATGTACGGTTGCACATCGCCACGGGAGCCTATTGTGAGACACGTAATCCTCAAAGATTCGGTGGGCTTGAAATTGATGATGGAGGCGCGAGGGTCATCGAAGATGGGATGCAATTCGTTGGATGCTGCCATCGCCGAGCGGGAACTGTGCATACCAGTGATGTCCAGCCTGGCCTCCTGTAGCAAACGGTGCTCTGCTGTGGCGGATTCAGACTCATCCTTCTCTTCGCACTCTGCAAGTAGTCCGGACGCCATTAAAAACTTCGTAGACTCAAGGCCTTTGTGCAGCGTAACAGCGCAATCGTCTCGGGTGTCAGCTGTGCCAAACTCGAAAAATAACTCTTCGTGGCCTCGAATAACGACAACGAGCCCATGGCGGCCAAAATTGAACCCTTTTTCCTTATCCACATTTTCGACATCCTTAAGCGGAAGGATCATCTTCGTACGAGTCCCAGGCATAAGACTGCGAAAGCACAGCTTTTTCTGGCTAATATAGATCTTGCCGTACAGTGGGATCATCCGATGCAGCCACGCAAAGTATGATGCCTGCAACTTCTCACTTGGTGGAAGGGCAAAGTGCTCACGGAATCGGTCACCGTCTTTACAACCAGCCTCGAGGTCTTCGGGATCAACGGCCTGGTCATCCGGGAGTATGTTCTCGGATTCTCCGTAATGCTTGCCACCACCGGCCCACATCCCAGAAACCTTCTCTAAATAGCCCATAGATTCACTCGCCAGTAAGTTGCTCATCTGCTTCGATCGTGTCTTCAAGTACTCAGCGAATCCAGCGGCGCGCTGCAGGGGATACACCCCAGCCCGGACAAGTTCATTCAAAGCTGGAGTGGAAGGGTGAAGTCCAGAAGGAGTCTGAGTATCACGGTCAGACTCGCTCACGGCGTACTGTATCTCAGGACCATTCCTGGTCGTATGCACCGACCGCGCTGTCTCGTCCGAGTGCCGACGAACAGTCTTCTCTGCGCCCGAAGGGCCTCGTCTCATTGTACGAATCGTAGGCGACTGGAAGACATCGCTTCGGTTCAATATCTGGCTGGCAGACTCGGTGGTATCCGTCATGGATTGCAGAATACCAGATGCCTCAGTTGCTTGCTCAAAGGAGTTTCCGAAGGACAAAGACGAATCCTGTTGTCTCATAGGCGGAGACATACTCAAGGCATCATGCCCGAAACTGAACTGCCCCGTGCTTGCGCTTCGTCTTCGATTACCAGACTTTCCAATGCCCCGAGACTGGCTAGTCGCGCTGGTGATCGACCACCTATTTTGAGAGCCACGGGTACGGCGAGAACGAGACGTTTGTTCAGGTTGTGGTGATAAGGTCTGTTGCGACCGCTTCATAGGCGTGTCGGCAACAAGACCTTTTAGGAAGTTGAATGCATCCTGGCCGTAATTGAAAGAGGTGAAGTAGTACTGCAGTACAGTCAGCAGTGAGCGTTTGTTGCCAAAAGTCGGACACGTACCTCATCGATAGCGTAGGTTTCCTCACTCTCCACCACGCGGATTTTGAAAGTTTCCGCAAAGTCTACCATGGGACTCTCTTCGATATCGATGATGTTCTCAATGGGGAAGGAAATCTTGACGCTGCCCTTGTCGTTGTGTGTGCGAAAGATGACCTTCTGCAGAGCTTTGACCCACTCTTTGGCGCTCGAGGAGCTATCGGCTCTGAAGTAATATGTTCGCTGGTCGGTGGTGACTTGGAAGTCTTTGACTTCTCGCCCTTTGTCTTTTGGCTCAGCTAAAGAAGCCGAAATCCCGTAGCGGAGATCAACATGGCCGCTGGGAAAGTAGAGTTTCGATGGGTCTGCATAGTATGAGAGGACGTCCCCTTTCAGCGAGAACCAATACCGATTGTATTTGGGGTTCTTTCGGCCACGTTTATAGACATATCCGGACTTGATGGCCACGGTGGACTTCCGAGGGAGGTAGGCATAGAAGCAGACGTGCCCTTCTGTGACATACATGTACCCCTGCAGGAGCATGCTTTGCAAGAAAGAGCATGCGTACTCAACGAGCACCTTCTCCGGTGCCTCAAAACCGAACATCTCCTTTAACCGCAGCGAAAGTGCTGATGCAGATTTCTGGGTAGGGCCCTCGTCACGGATTTCTTCCGTAGTAGACGGGGCGCCTTTAGTCGAGTCCTCTGTATCCAACAGAGCCCGTGCTTCTACCATGCGACTAAGAACAGGGGCTGCCCTAGGAGTGACACTGCGAGGCCGTTTAGGAGTGGAAGCTCGAGACATTTCATCACCCGTCTGAGGCTCAGACTGTACAGCCGGTTCCTGGCCTTTGTTCTGTTTCGAATTTAACTTGAACGGGCGCAATAACTTATGATCGGATATTGTTCGTCGGTGGCGACGCCCGCGCTCCGGGGTCGGGCTCTGCGGCTTGGGGGATAATCGCGGCGATTCATTTCCGCTCCTCTTTGGCAGTGCACCAGCGGTAGCAGACAAGTTCTCGGCGTCTTTGCGGGCACGGCTCTCATCCTCCCCATCACTATCACTCGACTCGTCGTACCGTGCATGAAACCCAGATCTCGAACCCACCGCAGCAATCATGCCGAATATAGACTGGTGCATATACTGCATATGACCCTCGCGAGGCCCCATACCGCCAGGGGGGGCACTAAAATCCACCTGCGAGTCGTCATCATCATCATTATCGTTCCTTAGTCGTTCTGGCAGAACACTGGCGAACATGCGGCTATTCGATATGGACTGCCTGCTTGCGCTGAGCCTACGGTCCACCCGCCGCTTTGCGTCATCTATAAAGGGTCGCATTTTCGGTACATAGGAAGAAAGTGTAGGACAAAGCGAGCGGGAATGAACAGGGTTCAAAGGAAGTAGTTGTTACGGTAAAACCCAGGGAACCCGGGCAGATGACAGCGCTGAAATGTGATCCGGGCATTCACGGCTTAAGGTAAGTCAGTAGGTTCAAGTCACGTATAGGTATTCGACTAAAGGCCGGTGATCAAACATATTAGCTTAGATCCAGCTCGATCGGGCATAGGGAGAGCTCTTCTTCGGGGCAAAGACAAAAAAAGCAACGAGAAGGAAATGTGACACCCACAGCGTCCACACATACACACACAGCTGAGAAGTTGATAAGCACCGTTGGAGTAACGGTACGGTTCCGGACAATGAGAGCCGTCAAAGCAAGAGAGACTGGGGCGTGCGAACCATGGCCGGCAGAGAGAGAGAGAGAGAGACTAAGACATGGCACGAGAGAGCAGAAAAAATAAAGGAGCGAGGAAGGCTTAAGCGGTCGAGCCAGCAGCCTGTGCGATGCAGAAGCAGAGCAACATGGAATGGATGAATTAGTAGTAAGTAGAAAGATGAGCCAACGACTGATTTGGGGGGTCTGGCGTCACTTGCCCGTATCAGCTGTCCGCCTGAGTATCTGCTTGTCCAATCACAAGTATTGCATGTGATTGCGGTAAGGCCCGCAGCCAGTGAGAGGACGACGCTGATAGGCTGGTGTCATTAGCTAATTATTGGGGAGGTGGTAATAGTCGGTAAAAATACCGACTCACCGTCGCGGCGGTGCAGGCGCAAGGGGACCCTGGGAATTCGTGAGAACCAGGATATTCTATGCTTCTTCTATTCGATCAGGGCCAGTCGATCAGAAGGACTGATGTGTCCCAGCACAATACGGTGTAGGGGCGATCTACCCGAATAGTAGCCTGACAGACACCCTCCGATCCACGAGGCTCCAGAACGGGGGCCTAGTGGCCACGCCGAGCAGCCTTGGTCGAAACAGAGGCCGGGGTTGATCGACACTAAATGGCTCCGGTGGGCCTTCTTCCACTTCAACCCGCTGGTCTATCTCTCTATCAACTCCAACTAGTCGAACCCACCAAGATGCTATGCTAACATAGTCATTGTCGGGTGGTTCAGGAACTCATGGACCTTACCCGGGTTTCACTGTTGCCAAGTAAGAATTCTATTCAGGACCACGGTGCTGTCCTACTGCTCGAGCGCGAAAAGCGCCTGACCTCTTCGCAGCTCTCGGGATGGTTGGATGGGCCGCCGGTGCTAGTGAGACGGCTTCATTCGGGCTAACGTCCTCCCGCTATTCCTTCTAGCCGTTGCACCTGCAGGTTGGGTGCGGTACAGAGTTCAGATTGTTCAGATTGCTCTAAGCAGTGGTGAACCACTCACTACTCGAGTTCTATGCATGAGATCTAACTCTGGACTTATGTACAAATGGACACACCCATGGCTGGCATGCAACGTAGAATTCAGCGGGCTCGTCAGAAATCACTCCCCACACGCCGGAAGAGTAGAAGCAAAAACATATCCCATCTAGTATTGCCAACTTTTGATGAAAGAAAAGACGATAAAGAAGGAAAGGAAGAGAAAAAGAAGAAATATCATCAAGCACTTCAAGTAGACTTCTCGGACTTCTTGCGCTTCTTCTCCTCCCGGCTCTTGCTGGACTTCTTCTTCTTGTCCTCGCCTTCACCTCCCTCCTGAGCGGACTTTCTGGACTTCTTACGAGGCACATCACCGGCGTCGGCCTGGCTCCCGTCCGCCTCAGTAGGGTGGTTCTTGCGCTTTCTCTCATCCCGCTCCTTCTCCAGCGACTTGGGGACCTTGAATGTAGGCGTCTCGTCTTCCGACTCCTCCGAACTGGACCCGAGGGTCTCGGGGGGTGCCACGCCACTTCCTACGGGGCGGAAACGCATCTTCAAGTGTTTGGGGTGTTTCCTCGGGGGCTTGATCTGCTCCTGAACAGCTTGTGCAACGGTCTCATCGCTGACCTCGGGAATGTCGAGCATTTCTTGGATGTGGTAGCTGGGGATGTTGCTGGCGGCAGTACTGTAGTAGGTCTTGGTCTTCGAGTCATACAGGTGAAGCGTCTTTCCACCCAGGTCGGGTTGCGCAAAGCTTTCCACCGGAATCCCGTATTGCACACCCTTGTGTTTCAAGACCGGCTTGCCCTGCATGATCTTGGCCAACGAGACTTCCTCAACCTTGGAAAGAGGAAGGTAGTCTGGCGCCGTAATGTGGTAGACTTGCTTGCCGCGAAGATCGGACAGGAGAGAGGAGACATTGGACTTCGGTGGTGCTTGTTGTTTCAAGGACTTGAATCCAGACGGAGCTTTGTAAGGTTGGGGTGCTGCTAAGGATACATTACGGGAGGTCCTATGCGAGCACATCGTAAGTCACTGATATAACCTTCACTTGAGTCAATTGGGAAGACCTACTTCTGGCTAGAAGTCTTTTCGTTGGAAGAAGTGCTGCTATCGCTGTCACTCTCGCTTCCGCTCTGGTTCAACTCAACCTCGGAGCTAGACGAGTCGCCAGCAGACGATGTGCTCATAGGAGTAGGCTCCCGTTCCTCCACAGCTTTCTTGTTCGATTTGGGTGCCATTGCGACTTATTGACGGTCTAATTCGTATGCGGATGTTCGAGGGGAAAGCAGCTCCGAACTTGCGATGCGGAGCGCCGGTGACCACACGTGTGCCTGATCTGTACCGCTAGAATACACTATAACAATGCGAAAGCCCCAGCGAAGTGATAAGCACGTCGTAGAAGAAAATCCTGGGGTATAGCGCAAAGCGCGAGTCACTGCGAGTTGGGAGAAGCCGATCCGGAACTTTTGAGCGATAACCTTTTTTTCTGCTCCGCGGAGCACGGACCACCTGAAAGTCCGCGGCCTCAAATATTCACCTTTTTGGTAGTCCCGCCGCCCAGCACTCGGTTCTGCGCAACGTCGCTGGTTTTTGAGAATTGAACTGTCTATCAGTATCATGAAGCGCAAGGCTGAAAAGGCGCAGGCTGCAGGTTAGTTCAAGCGCCCGTGTACCCAGAAGCATCACTGACTTTCGATTCTTCAAGCCCCGGTCAGCGCTTTCGCGGCCCGCAAAGCACGGCAGCAGCAGGCGCAGGCCACCGCAGCTGCTGTCAAGCCCCCTGTCGCTGAGCCAGTGGTAGAACCGCCACCTAAGAGAGCGCGCCGCTCGCTAGAAGAGCCTGTCGTCCCAGTTGCACCCGAAGAGAACCGAGTCCAAACGAGGCGATCATCGAGACGAAAGGAAGAACAAGCCAAGGTTGAGAAGCCCACGCCGAAGGCGCGCAACGATCAGCCTCCTAAGGCCTCCAAGAAACTACCCGAGCATGACACATCCAAGGCTACCGAGGATCAAGCACCTTCAGACGAGGAGTCGGAGGAGCCAGACGTTGTTGTAGGGAATACCGGTGTTATCGGGCTCGAACCCATTCAGAATGAAGAGGAGGGGTAATTGTTGCTTTGCAGTACAATACGAGCCTTATACTAATGGTTCTTAGGTACGAATCGCCTGCAGACACTGCGGTCCAGGTTCAAGACTTCCCACTCTCCAAAGCGCGCTTGAACAAGAACAGCATAGTCTACAGTGATGAGCATAGAATGTGTGTCCGCATAAAGGAGAAGATGGTATGCTTGTCATGCTGGCGTATATGTGCAGTGCTGACTTCTCCATAGAGTTTGGTAATGATTGGCCACTACGATCTATGGGTCAAGCGAGGTGTGGTCAGCTTGATGGGAGCGAAACTGCACCCCTCATCCCAGGTGTATCGGGTCTATGCTCCTTCGACGCACTCGTTGCCTGTTATCAAATGCGTCTCCGGGGTCAATGGTGAGGCAGAGGTGGAATTCAAGTCATGCCACAGCGGGATCTATCGTCTCAAGGAACTCTCGCCCCTCTATCAGCGGATATGGAACGGCAAGAATACTACAGCGGACAAGCTCACGCTCAAGGGCACTCCTCAGTCCACCAAGAGGACGTTCTCAGTGGTAAGTTTCATACCTGACTGTCTTCTTATAGCCCGTCCTGTGACTAAGTGCCGTACAGCTGTATACTTCTGCGGACGATTCTTTCAAACGCCACCTGAGGCCACTTCATCTCGAGAAGCAATGGAGCTCCGCTATCAAGTCCCTGTCTCAGCGTGGTGGACGGCTGAAGACTCTCATCTGCGGACCGAAGGGATCAGGAAAGTCTACATTTAGTCGCTATCTGTTGAATCACCTTCTCAGCCCGGCGCCGCAGACAGAGACCAAGTACTTTAACACTGATGGGGTCGCGTTCCTGGACTTGGACCCGGGTCAGCCTGAATTTGCTCCGATGGGGCAAGTCTATCTGGCCCATCTCCGTTCGCCTGTCTTTGGTCCTCCCTTTTCCCATCCGTCTTTGGATGGTTCTCGTAACGGGACGATAGTCCGGAGCCATCATATTGGAGCTACATCGCCCAAAGAGGACCCCGACCATTACGTCCTCGCCGCCATGGATCTCATGGACCGCTATCGGGCCCTGCAGGCGAGCTATCCCCATGTCCTCTTATCATCAACTACCCCGGCTGGATCTTCGGCTTGGGTCTGGAAGTTGCAACCTGGCTGGTCAGATCGCTCGGTCTTTCCGACGTTGATATATGAGCGAAAAGGGACCGACTGAAGTTGTTCAGCCTCTTGGCCAGGCAGCTTACCAGGCCAAGATTCCTCTGACAATCCTCCCTTCTCAGCCCACCGATTTCGTCAGCAGGTCGAGCGCACAGCTTCGCTCAATGCAAATGCAGTCGTATTTCCATATGTCGCGTCCAAACGGCATCAACAACTCACTGTGGCTTGAGCAACCACTGTCTCGTACCAAGCCTTTCCGTGTTCACTACTCGGGACCGCAACAGGGCATCCAGGGCATCATGGTCATGGGCACTGAGATTCATCCTGATCTACTTCATGAGGTTCTAGATGGGTCCATCGTCGCTGTTGTGGCCGTTGAATCACCCAACGCTATTCTGGGCCAGAACAGTGGACCAATGTTCGCGAACAATGCCAATGCTGAAACAGATGGCGACCACGATGTCGACATGCAGGACTCAGCTGATGCTGTTCCTGTCATTGGCACATCGACTATTGAATCTAGCATCACGCGGACACCAAACGAGGACCTACCTTACCTCTTTGTTGGTGCGGGGAGCAGCAATCCCCTGGACCCGAAAGTCTCGCACTGCTTGGGCTTGGCTCTTGTCCGCTCCGTGAATGTCGCCTCCCGCCAGCTGGAACTGGTCACTCCCATTACCGGATCGACTCTCCGCGGCGTTCTCGAGCAGGGCCACAGCATCGTTCTTGTGCGGGGTCTCTTGGATAATCCCAACTGGGCCATCAGCGAGGACTATTACGCAGCCCGTGCCGCTGAGAAGCGCCATCGGGAGCTGATTGAGAAGCTCAAGAAGGATAAGGGTGCTGCCGCTGCGGAGGACGCTACCCTCGAGTCGGAGAAGCAGGTGTTGAAGGATAGAATCCGGCGCGCGAGCAAGGTTCCTTGGATGACGGTGGTAGAAGACAACAGCCGCAGGCAACGAGAAGCAGCACAGCGCGAGAAATCCTTATGGAAGCTGCGGAAGAAGGCATACCCTGGAAGCGATAGTGAAGGCGATTGGTAACTTGCATTACTTGGCGTTCTACAATGCTTGCATGTATATATTAGACAGTGAAAAGTTTATTCGGGGGCATAGATAATGCACGAGCTGACAGCCTACATGATATATGTTGGATTATAAATCCGGATTTATGTCCCATCGATATTGGGTCCATTACATCATAGATCCAAGTTGCTTCACACTGGATATCCGGTTGTATCGACAATCAGATATTCCCGACGAGTATCAACCTTTGGTCTATCAAAGGCATCGCACCAATTCCTCATCAATCGTTAGCTATTGCCCTCAATACTCCGCTCAACACCATACGGACCCCAACTCATCCACCCATAACCACTCCATCAAAGTATATCAAAACAGCCCAACCCCACAACCAAGTTCCAAATATGCCATCAAGCATGGAAGGCAAAACGGCCCTAATCACCGGAGCCGGCAGCGGAATCGGGTGAGGCCTCATCCATACACCTCATACATCTTCCACCATATATACCGAACCGACCCATATAC